TTAAAAAAATAACTGTAGTAAGAAAAACAAATGAAAAATGCGAACTAATGTAACGTCGTATGGTGAGTTTTTGTTCGTATCGTGGGGCAAAAATATGTTCGAATTTCATGTCGTATCCTGAAAATTTCGTATGCTGGGGCGTTCGTAACCTGAGGTACCACTGTATATATATATATATATATATATAAATACATTGTGTTTCTCTTCAATAATTACAAAACTAACAACACGACCGTATTGGCATTACAAAAAGTACTCGCATAAACTAATCTTTCCATAATGTCGACAGACAGTTGTGCCATTAATTTTGCGATGTTACTCGTCATCTAGTGTTTTTATATTTTGTAACTCTTCAATACTTGCATAAATTGCTAAGGATACTTCCGACAAACTATCGTACGTCGGAAATATCTGGCAGCACACGGATTTTTTTTCTTCCGCACACATCTACTGCCTCACCAAACAGAAACGTGGGCACGGACGACACGTCCAAATTCGCAAAACCTTTCCGGCACGGCAAGAGTCAAATTCCGACGGGTAGGTACTTCTCGGACGAGCTCGGGATTTTTTAAAGTCAAGTTCGGTCTCCACTTCGTGGCACACAAGAGACAATTAGAAACGGGAAACAATCCGCGACTGGGTATTAACATCCGACACACCAAGTCATTCAAAAACGGAGCATTTTATCACCGGCGGAAGCGTAAGTACAAGGCATTCTTCACGGCACGTTCAGGGTTCGAGTGGGTTACACGTAAACGAACAACGTTTCAGACGACACAAAATTTCTTTACGGCGGCAACGGTCGAGCATGTTTTTTCAGAAAATTATTTTTAAAAATACATTTTGCATAGCAGGGTATCCAAATTTCAAAAAAAGTAGCAAATTTTTTTCAGAATATTTGATTGATTTATTTAGTACATTATAGAATTTCTCATTTTCCAGTCTTTTGCTTGTCCCAGGATTCCGGGATAAAAGCGAACTGTTTCCTGGGATTCCAGGAAATAATTAATTATTTTTAAGATATAGAATAAATCTTAAAATTGTACGATATAATTACTTTTCATTTTTTAGTAACTTAGTATGTCCTGCAGTTTCCAAAATAATAATAATGCTATGTAAAATATGTATAAAAAATTACTTTTGGGTTACATAAAAATTTTCACAAATAGAAAAAGTTTATTAAAGTTTGTTGGAAACTGCATACAACTAAAATGCCTTTTGAATTGACTTAAAAATTTAAAGAAAAAAATGAACTTGGATCAAACTTCTAAGTTAGAAGGTAATTTTTGTTATTTAAATGAAACATAATACAAAATATTATTGTAAATTTTTATAATAAGATTTTAAAAAGCAAAGATGGCTCATACTTTGATCACATAATTTTGATTCTTATTTTACTAAAGAAAAGTCCCGCTACCAAGTATTATGCCCTTTTCGATTCAACCGACGAGGGTGAAATCGTCTTTAATGCATTTAAGAGAATACGGACGTTATATATTTTTTCACCCGTAGCCCGGAAGATTTCTAGTTTGTTTTCGAGACGCGTTACAGTATTTCTTTTGCCGTCTAGTATTCTCGATTCGTCTATCGCGTCTGCCTTAACAGCGGCCTCGAGCTTACGGCCCGATAATTCGACAGTTCGTTCGGTTTTAATAATCGGGTTTACAAAGAAAAATTTCACACTCTCCTACTTCGTACTCGTTTGCATCCTCGCCCAATTTGCACAACCCGGCACCGCGCAGTTATCGAAGATACCGGGCACGATTAAAAATTAAGACAACACGAGCGCAATTATTCCAGATATTACAGGTTCCGACAAGTAAAGAATTTTCAGAGTCCCGTCACATATAGGCTACATATTGATTATCGACAATCCGCGACACGCCATAATAAGCAAAAATTTTAAAAACTAATAAGCAGGTTTAAAATAATAAATACAAATGTATTCTGACAATTTATGGTATAATAATTATACTTTCTATTTGCAAAATTTCCTCAATTTTAACACAAAATAAGAAAAAAGTGAATTTTAAAGAAATTTGCAGGACTTCACGGGTTAAAAAATAGCCGGGATCCCGTTTGAAAACCCTAGTACATTAATTTTTATTTTACTTTTTGAAAACGTTATATAAATTTTTTAAAGATTTCTTANTATCTGACGCAAACAGGCATAATGATAATAATCAAAATGATTTTAGTGTAATTTCTGCCTTCTATTAGAAGGCAAAAATTACATACACTATTTAAATTTCAAAAGCTAATTATTAAATGATTATTTATCGAAATATTCAATATTTTTAAGAATTATTGGTTTAAATTCATTAATATGTAAAAATAATAATGCATTTATTCTACTTTTAGAAATTTCACACTTTTTTAAAGACTTTTTTCACATGTACTTGACCTTCAGAAATGCTTTAAGCATTTCTGAGGGCTCTGGCTCAATCTCTTTGAGAACATTGCATTATGAGAACAGATGTAGAACAAAATATTAGTAAACAGCAGTGAAATGAGGCCTATGAGAAGGTGAAGCTCTTGATCCCAGTCAGGGCCTTCTTACAGACAATGCATTAATGTACCATGTTAACTTTGTGTCATTATAATAACCTTTTCATTTATAATTTTAAAATTTAAATTAAAAGAAACTGTAATAAAAGAAATATTACATTTGTTACCATATATCATTTAAATTTTCTACTATTCTTTTTTTGATCATGACTTGGTTAAAAATAAATTTAAAATGTCTAAACTCAGTTGTGATTTTAAACTGAAAACATATTTTTTCTTAAATCTCCTTTTTCTCTTTGACCATAACATCAATTTACTGCAATTATTTATGTGTTCTTTAATGTAAAAATAATTTTGACATAAAAAAGTTTCTCATCTTTTATTTTCATAATGAATCAATGCCAACATAAAACAGTTTTTAACACTCTTAACTGTATTGCATATATATTGCAGAAAAAGGACTATTATCTTTATGGTTGTAGATTCCAACAGACCAAGGTAGTGGGGTTACTAGCAAGCCATTTAGCCTGAGTTTCAAATGTGGAGAGGTCCCAAAGTTTGATTTTATATAGAAAACATGATGTGAAAGTTATGTAAGTAAAAATTCCTCTTGATAAATGGTGAAAAAGTCTATGTTTGTTTTCTTGATTTTATTTACATAGTTTTATGGCTTTCGAACAAAGAGTGGAGTACAACATTTATAACTGGCTTGGGCTTCATCTTATTTGTCTCGGTTCCATCAGTTCCAGAATCATTGATAATTCTAAAAATAGAATTTCAAACAAATTGAACTTTCATACCCAAACTCAAATTTTCAATAGTATTTGATTGCTTCTTGTTCTCTCTTATATTCTTTATAATTAATTCACTGCATCGTACGACAATCAGCCTATTTGATAAATGTATAGTGAAACATTTTACATCTTTTATTTTAAAGTTTTTACCCTTTTATTTGCCAATTTTTCTATATTCTAGCAAGTTTTATTTTTTTTTTTGTTTTACAACTTCACTTGTTTTATCCCTATGTTTTTTAAATACTCAGTTACTCTAGCAATCACAATTAGATATCATTTCACTTTTAACATTATTATACATTAAGGACAAATGAATGGCAAATGGTCCAAAATGCATTTCCTTTCGTGAAAAATGAAGAATAAAGTCTACTTTTTCCATCAAAAAGTGTTCCTTATCATAAGTCCTCTATAGCAATTTTTTGCTTAATTCTAAAAAATCAAATTTTCATATTCAGTTCTCCTAAATTACACAGCTAATGTAATTAATTTAAATATTTTGTCAATCTATCTTTGTCTGAAAGTTACATAAAAAAATTTATGAAAAACTCAGACTTATAAACATTACAAATATACGAGGGTTATTTTTTCAACCTCCATCGACCCAGAATAAAAAAACAAGAATGAAGAACAAAACCACTTTATTTGTAGAAGGTAGTTACAGTTGTCACCTATTTTTCCACATAATTGCCTTCTCGGTTCAGGCAGACATCATACTGTGACACCAGCTTTTGTATACTCATGTCGAAGAACGTTGCTGCCAAATCATTCAGCCAACCTTTAACAGTCAGTCAGAGGTATACAGTGTGGATCTTGAAATTTGAGGAAACTCTTCACTGAGCTCAGAAATCATAAACCAATGCCTTTCTCGCACCAGTTGATCCACTGTGTCCACCAAATCATCGGTCATCACGCACTTCCTTCCTTGACTGCCCTCATCATGAATGTTGTCACGTCCTTGTTTGAATTTCCTGCACCATTCATGCACGCATCTGTAGCTCATGAGGTTCTCATCATATATATTACAAATCGTTCGATGAATTTCACCTCCATTCAGCCCTTTGGCCTGTAGAAATTGAATTTCTGCTCATACTTCACAGCTGGCGGGAGACTGGATTAGTAGCATCATGTTTACATGTTTACTGCAGAGTAGCAAATGTCTAAAATAGTTTGGCACAACACTAAGTGGTGAAGGAATATACTATTTACTAGGTGTGCAACCCTGTCCCTCTTTCACATGCTTCCAAGTTTTTTTCATGCGTTAGTGGAGATTGAAAAAATAAAAAATAAACCTAGTATTAAATGAGAATATTTTTTGAGGTTTTTCCTTTCATTTTCCTTTCAAAGAGCCAGAACTATCTCAAATATATAAATTTCTTGGCCCGATATACCTGATTTTTCATTATTTTGAATACGACACTTTTAGTTTATTATTCAGATAACTTTACGTTTAATTATGTAACTAAAACAGTAAATATACTTTCTATCATTTCAGATAAAACATATAAGTTTTGGTAATCTAAAACATGTAAATGTTTAAAAACTTTAAAGGAATTATAAAAAAATTTTCAACAGCTGACCTCTTGGAGTGATTTTAGGCTGGTATGCAACTTCCACAACTGCCTTGTCTACATAAGCTTTGTGATACCTTGCTTGAATTGGTCCATACGTTGCAGCCTGCATGACTGTATCACCTTAAAAATTAATTTGCAATTATTAAACATGATTCAAATTCTAATTTTAAGCTATTAATCTAATAAGAATTACATTTTATATATGTATTTAAATATAATCTTCCCAAAGACCACTTAAAAGATTTTAGACAATCAAACCAACTTGCAATTCCTTCCAATTACCAAGTCACCCAAACCCAACAATTACTCAGAAGTTTATTCACAAATTCTTTTCATATTGTAGACCGAAGGAATCAGCAAGGCACCAGTCTGAAATGCATACAAATAAAAAAGAATTTGTACACAAACTTTTGAGTAATTCTTGGCCTTGGTGACTGTTGGAATCAGAAGAATATTGCAAGTTTGTTTAATTGTCTAAAATCACTTTTAAGTGATCAATCGTCAGAATAATTAATAACATCTGGCACATACCGCTAAATTTTTAGCTCTGTCTTATAATTGTCGTATAATATTAACATAACTATAGGGTTAAAGAATGAACATTGATTCAATAAACATTAAATTCAAATAAAAAGTTTACTCTATAGAAGCAATTTAATATATATGCACATGCACACACACACACACCCAAAATTTTATTTATTGATAATTACTTTTCTAACCACTTAAAAAGGGGTTGTTTTTGGATGAATAAATAAAAATTGTTATGTCCTTCAAATCCGACTTTCACCCAAGTTCAAGAATTATTCAGAACAATTAATTCCCAGATGTTTAGTTTATATGCATTTTGAATCTAACTTCATGTTGATCCTTCCTCAATCTACAAACCATAAAATTGTTTTTTAAATTATATACAGATAAAATTTATAACAAAGATATAAAATATGTACAATTTGTGATTGAGCCACACCAGCAATTTATATTCATCGAAATCAATCATAACAATAATTATCCTGCATCGCATAACATCTTTTTATTTTTATACATGACATCATTCCAAACATCATCTATTAACATCCCACTATTCAAATTAATTAAGTTATCATTATTTTTTATTGATATATATTCTTTGCACTTTCCTAAATATACATCATTTTCTAGAAATAAAATTTTAATATTATTATTATTAATTGTACAATTATTTTCACTGCAATGTATAAATCAAGGTGATTAGGTATTTTTTAACCTAACAGATGCATTGTGTTCTTTTATTGTTTTTGCTAACAATCTCCCAGTTTCTCCAATATAATGGACCTGTTTTGTATACGACATCTGATTTTTCCAAATTATTTTCTTTAGTAAATATATATTCTTTGAATTTATTTTTTAAGTCAGCCGCTAATTCTATAGAACCCTTTCTAAAAATATTTTTGAATTTCTCAAAATTATTTTTAATGTAGGGGAAGGATATATGCTTTAATTCTTCTTTAAATTTCACTTTATATCTGTTATCTCTGTATTCTCTTCTCCATTTTTCTATTATTCTATTAGGATAGTCATTTAGTAAAAACATCATCTTTAACTTTGCTGCTTCTTTTATTCTACTGTATTCCTTTTATTTGTAGCACAAGTGTAAATTTTCTTTAATGCTGTAATAAAATTAATCTTTTTTATTTCAAGGGGACAATATGATTTATAATTTATAGTCTTAGACATTGTACAAGTTTTCTCATATTTTCTAAAAGTAACTCCAGTATTGCTTCTATTAATTGTTATATCTAAGTAATTTATACAGCCTTATTTTCAAGTTCTATTTCAAATTGAATATTCTTATTTAGGTTATTTGCAAAATTTCATATTTTTACTTCATCTATTTTTCCAAATCAAAAATTATTAAATCATCATCTACATAGCTTACTATAAGTATTATAACTTGTAATAAGCCACTTTTTTATCTATTGTATTCATGCAAACTTCTGCGAGTTTGGGTCCTATGATTAAATCCATACTAATGTCGTCTTTTTGGTGATAATACATATTATCAATTTTAAAATAGTTACTAAAATATGTTAAATGAATCAGTTTCTGGATCCAATCTTCTATATCCAGTATTTGTAGGTTTTCTTCTATCATTTTCTATTTTATATTCAGATACATTAAAATTATATCTAAGCTTACAAACTTATATGAAGGTTTAAATTTTATTTTTAATGTCTTGTTAATTAAATTATCTGCCGATGTTATTGGGATGTTCCATTGTAATGGATGTAACATACACAGTCCAGATTTTTCAATCTTCATAGGCCGATTGCCAACGACTGACGCTTCCTACAGGCGGGAAAAAATTCAGGGCTGTGCATGACTGTCCCCTCCACAACTCCACCGAAGGAGGCCTCTCGCGCATCATTGGTTTACGCGGAATAAAAAGGTCCGATACTTTTTGAACAGACCACGTATATATAACAAGGGAAAGTATTGGAATTGGGTCAAATTTGACCCTCTGAGATTTTTATAATCTCCATGTTTTGAGATCTCCTGAATCCAAAATAGTAATAAAAATCTCATGGATATGTATGCACAGTTTATATACATAGAGGGATTATGTGTAGTGACTGCATTACTGGTAACCGGTTTACCGGTATACTGGTAAATTAGGAAAATCATATCCCGGTAAATTTACCAGTAATTAATTTTTTACTAGTATTTCAGTTTAAAAAACCTCTTAATTAACTCAATATTTATTTTCCTAAAATTTCCACGGGAAATACCCGTGGGAAGCAGATTTTTGTGTCTCCCCCATACCATAGCGAGAAAACAGTGCAAGTAGTGATAGGTCATTCCATTTGTAATTTAAGGTTATTAAAAGGAATTTTCTAGTCTTTTTATAACTTGATTGCTTGTATTATACTCCAAAAACAGGTCTTGATTTTGGAGTATATACAGGAAAATAATCCAGAAAATTAAATAAATACAATAACATATTTCATGTAACTTATTTACATGAAATATGCAATAATGTTAACAAAAATATAATTTTGAATGGGATTGTAGAAAATGAAGCACTTATCAGAAAATGAAAACAAATTATGATCTGTGGATATCACTAAAATTAGTTCAGACTGCAGATTCTGGCAAGAGGTGTTCATTGCTTACTACACCATCAACTGCTCACGTCAACACGAGAACAAAGTGCACAATAGAAAAGTCAAATTTAACAATGAAAGAGAAATTGGACTTATTAAACATAAAATGAGTGTAGACACTAATAACAGTAATATAAGTTTAAAAATGTGAAAGATATAGTTTAAAAAGAAATTAATTATTTCTTAGAGCAAAAAATACAAAGAACGTATCTTAAAAAGGTTTTCAATGCTCTAATGACAGTATGTCCAATTAGTATTGATTCCGAGAGAGCTTTTTCTAATGCAGCTGCCATTCGTACGAAAATTAGATCTACATAGATTAGATGACGAGAGCCTACATGTATTATGTTTGTTAAAAGTCTACTTTCAAAATAAAGAAAAACATAATAAATTATCAGCATTATTTCAATGTTTCTTATGTCATAATAATTGCTATTACAAGAATTGTTTGTCTAAACTGATAGAAAACTTAAAAATAAATGGTTGTCCAATAATTCTGTCAGTAATTCAGTTTCATTTTAAATCATTTGTTAATACAAATTTACCAGTAAATTACCAATAAACTGGTAATCCCGAATATAATTACCGAATTACCAGTAATATAATACCTGGTAAATTTGCAATCACTACTTGTGTGTGATATCTCGAGAGAGGTAAAACTAATGAAGATTTTATTCGTTATTAACATTTATAGTTTCTCCCTCATCCCTACTCTCAAAATTAACCTTTTAGCCATTTTACAATAATTAAAAATATAGAAAGTTTCTGTAACAAAATCTCATAACAGATGGCGCCACACAAATTTTATTTATTTTGTTTAATAATATGAAAGTTAATTTTTTTGAATATAAACTCATAACAGCCAGGAAAATTACACAATTCATTGCTAGATTTTTTTGTAAATGTAATTTATTAAACAAATAACACAAAACAAACTTGTACCAACCTACAAGTGAGGCACAGTATGCGAGACTCATAACCTGTACAAATTTTGTCCAGGTCTGAGGCATATACATATTGTACGTAAAACAAAATTCAAAATTAGCATAAATATTAAAAAAAATCAATTCAAAGAGGAAATTTGGATTTTCTGAATTGAAAAGAACATAAATCTATAGAAAAAAGAATGCCCTGAAATACAAAAATTTTTGTGCATGATGGCACAAAAATTTTTGTATTGAATTTGGTATAAATTCATTGTAAAAATTTATACCAAATTCACAGTAGTTATATTTAAGGAAAATTTTATTCATGCATACTGGGTTAACTTTAGTTTTAATGCATATAATGTTAAAAATAATAATCTTGAAATAATGGATTTTTGGTAATACAGTAGAGCCTCAAAAACTCGGCCTAATGTGGACCGAAGGGTGGCCGAGTTTGTGAAAATGCCAGGTTATCAGGAATGGGGTTAAAAAAAAATAAGTATGAGTGTTTCCTCAGAAAATGCTGTACTGTACTTGTATGTATTGTTTACTTGAGAATACAACAGAGAATAAACTGCCCAAATACCCTTAAACAAAGGAAAAGTACGTCTTTTATGAAGGCATAGAGCCTTTACTACATGANCGAACTGTTTCCTGGGATTCCAGGAAATAATTAATTATTTTTAAGATATAGAATAAATCTTAAAATTGTACGATATAATTACTTTTCATTTTTTAGTAACTTAGTATGTCCTGCAGTTTCCAAAATAATAATAATGCTATGTAAAATATGTATAAAAAATTACTTTTGGGTTACATAAAAATTTTCACAAATAGAAAAAGTTTATTAAAGTTTGTTGGAAACTGCATACAACTAAAATGCCTTTTGAATTGACTTAAAAATTTAAAGAAAAAAATGAACTTGGATCAAACTTCTAAGTTAGAAGGTAATTTTTGTTATTTAAATGAAACATAATACAAAATATTATTGTAAATTTTTATAATAAGATTTTAAAAAGCAAAGATGGCTCATACTTTGATCACATAATTTTGATTCTTATTTTACTAAAGAAAAGTCCCGCTACCAAGTATTATGCCCTTTTCGATTCAACCGACGAGGGTGAAATCGTCTTTAATGCATTTAAGAGAATACGGACGTTATATATTTTTTCACCCGTAGCCCGGAAGATTTCTAGTTTGTTTTCGAGACGCGTTACAGTATTTCTTTTGCCGTCTAGTATTCTCGATTCGTCTATCGCGTCTGCCTTAACAGCGGCCTCGAGCTTACGGCCCGATAATTCGACAGTTCGTTCGGTTTTAATAATCGGGTTTACAAAGAAAAATTTCACACTCTCCTACTTCGTACTCGTTTGCATCCTCGCCCAATTTGCACAACCCGGCACCGCGCAGTTATCGAAGATACCGGGCACGATTAAAAATTAAGACAACACGAGCGCAATTATTCCAGATATTACAGGTTCCAACAAGTAAAGAATTTTCAGAGTCCCGTCACATATAGGCTACATATTGATTATCGACAATCCGCGACACGCCATAATAAGCAAAAATTTTAAAAACTAATAAGCAGGTTTAAAATAATAAATACAAATGTATTCTGACAATTTATGGTATAATAATTATACTTTCTATTTGCAAAATTTCCTCAATTTTAACACAAAATAAGAAAAAAGTGAATTTTAAAGAAATTTGCAGGACTTCACGGGTTAAAAAATAGCCGGGATCCCGTTTGAAAACCCTAGTACATTAATTTTTATTTTACTTTTTGAAAACGTTATATAAATTTTTTAAAGATTTCTTAAAAATGAAAACATCGAAATATAATTAAGAAAAAATACGAAAATCAAAGGAAAACAATATGATAAAACTTCAATTTAGGTATTTTACGGAGAGAATTCTGTTTTTAAACGCAGCTCATTAATATACTGCACAAATGCTTCTCAGTGAATATTTATTTTAATTCAACATGACAAGATCATTACACACAGTTAAAAACCGAAGTTTTGAGGTTCGATTCAAAACTTGGAGCTCTGGAACGAATAAAAATGGCTGGAGTTTGAACACGTGACTCCAACATTTAAATAAAGAAATTAAGTTACCTTGAGAATAAATAGCCGAACCGTCCGGTCGAGAAAGATTGTTTAGTGCGGCAGATTGACTACCTAACATTATTTCGGTTTCTTGTATCATATTAAAGTAAATTAAAGCAAAACTTCCACAAAGTACACGTGCTTTAGGTTGCCAGCTCGGGTGCGGCCATTGCACGATTAGTGTCACCATCTGACGAGGAAAATGTTAATAAATTGTTCATATTTATTCCAATAGTAATAGCAATTTCAATTCCACAAATTTAATAAAACTAAACATTCTGTTTAATAAGAATTCTATAAAAACTTAAATTGCTTAAAAAAATTAACTATTCTCTAAAAGTTTAACTTCCGTCAACAGATGAAGATATAATTATTTTAAATGTTTAAAAATAAAACAATAATAAAATTATTGTTAATTATATTAAAAAGTTTAATTCGTTTCATTCAAAAAATTTTTAATTTAAATAAGAAATTACAATATATCTCTACGACCATCGGAGGCGTCGTGGCAAAGCGCCTCTAGCGGTTACAAATAAAATAAAAAATGAAAACGATTTAAAATAAACAAAATATATTATAATAATTACTCACAAAATATTTATATTTAACGTAAAAACGATATATTAAATTTTAAACGATACGTCGTTTGGCAACTGCTATAAATGTAAAATCCGGATATAATTTCAAATACCGGAATCGACATAATTCTGACTGATAGGACTAATAAGATCATATTGTACGATATTTATAGTACTTTGCTTCAAATACGACTCGGAGTTCATTTTTTCGTCTACGTTCAAGCTCAAAGATGCCGAATTAATTTAAAATATTTTAAGCAGCGTATTCTTAAATAGCATCGATGAGATTTGTTATTTTAAATAAACGCCATATCCTAGTTTCGGTCATTCTTCGTCGGCAAAGCGCTTCGATTATTATTGCACCTTATTGAGATTCAGATTTTTTCAGCCGCTTTACAACATTTGTTGAAATTCGATATGAAATTTTATTTCATTTTTTCTGTTTAATGCATTAAAATTATCCAAACTTCTCTACAAAATTTATTTTTTAATTTTACCTTCGTCGTTGCGAAACCATTTTTTAAATGTCTTCGTACTCCTTCCAGGTCTTCGCAGTTTCTTGCTTTTTAGCTCAATCTCAACGGGCAAACTTTAGTTTTTTTTAGATACTTCATTTTTTATATTTCCTGTGAGTAATTACAACGTTAACTTCTTTATAATTAACAAATTTTTAGTTTACAATGCCTTAAAATTATATGAAAAATCGGTTAAACTAAGCGGCAAAGCGTATCAACTTGCTGCCGAATTATTTTCCTTTTTTGAAAAGTGGATTCGAAATAATTCGAAATTTTAAGCCGAAATTACGAAATCGACAACGAAGATATTGCGAAAAAATGAATTAATAATATAGAATTGTTAAACAGATTTGGCATGTGCGACGTTCGTTCGAGGTAAACTGGTTTCTCGCTAAGAATAATATTCAGACAAGGTGAAGTGACAGAGAAAACTATATTAAAAGGTCGCGAGTCTATAATCGGGCGCCCACGTTCAAACGTTTTACGCGTGTGGGCCATAGTAGTTAATATATAAGCTCTATCATCGGTGTTACGGGCGTCGAAACTTTGTAATTCGTTAAACTGGGCGACGATAAGTCCGAAACGACCTTCGGTAATCAAATGTTCGAGAGTAAAAATATGGAGGTGAAGGTCGTTATCCTTAACATTTCCAGCCTTTTTCTCGTGTCTTTCTTCTCCGGACATTTAATTTTATGCCATCAGCCGGGTATGAAATGTGCCATCACTTTTTTCGTTATAAAAAAACTAGTAATTATCGTTTCGCATGTGTCGCTCGTCTGACCTACAGTCGAGAGAGTTTTTGCGCAATTAACGATACGTCTGTGTGGAATTCGGCTAGAAATTTATGCATTTTGTACCCAAGAAAGTCTTAATTTTGATTTAAAAAAAGTATCAATTATTAATGTTTTCGTATATGAAAAAATGTGTTTAACGCGCTGGTTAATCACCGAGTTAACTTAATTAATTTATACTGTGCCGATGCAGTTAAATTATTTATAATACGTACGTATAGTACAAATAATAATTACGTAGCAAAAGTTTCGTATTAATTTTCTTAAATCGCAACGAATGGTCCATTCTTATAATAAGATTCATTTTTAAACCACGCATCTTGCTCGAGAAACCCGAGAGTTTGGGGCGGGTCGAATAATACATTAACAAAACTTTATCCTGTTTTTGACCCCCTCCCCATCCACTTCCTAATTTCGTTATCGGGACAGAAGTTTAAACCGTTCGCAAATACGCAGAAATTATTTTCAGACAAGTTTATGATGTTTGCGAAGAAAAATAAATAACCGTGGTAATTTACGTCATCATAGACTCGTGTTTTTTCCATCGTCAGCGATCGTCGCGTATAAACGAATTCCCTCCCCTATAAACTACTGACGTAATATCTGAATGGTCGCTTTTCAATGTGGATCGTTAGAGTAGATTAGCAATTTTTTAATATGGATCTTATTGTAGGAACGAAAGATTCTTCTACACAGGTTTTCTTATGAGAATGAAGGATTTTTCAAGACGGATCTTATGTTTAATTGAAGTAACGAATAGTTTTTGAAATCTTTTGTAGTAACGCGCGATCTTTCGTACGGATCGCATTGAAGAAATAAACAAATAAGACCCTTTGTTATTTTATATACATTTCAAATACTTTATAAAACAAGGGTGGGCGAACGAGAGGTCAGTGGGAGCCGAAATGTAGGTTTTGCAAAATGCATGGGAGCCGCAGTTCTGTACTTTTTTATTCTGTACTACAGTTCTGTACCGCCATTTTATTATATAATATAAATATTATACAAAACAAATATNTTAAAATGTACACACTGTACAGTAATTTACCTGATAAGACAGACCTCAGAAAAATACTTTATGAGGCATAAAGCTGTCTTTATCATGAAAATAAATTAACTAAGGATTTTTTTGCCCTGCCAGGGTGTGGCCGAGTTATCCGGAGTGCCGGGTTATCAAGTGCCGAGTTTTCGAGGCTCTACTGTATTTAGATATAAGAATCAAAATTAATCTCTATGATAAGTCAATCAATCCTCTTTCATTCAGATTTTGTTTATATTTTTTAAAAATTATTATATTAATAATATGCTTAGAACAATCAGATTTATAGCCTATCTTATCTTATCCTACTTTAACTCTACATTCTTATCCACGACCACTATAGATATGAGATATGATGTATAACTTGTACATCTCATACTTTCTTCTCATAAAGGCAATGGACAATCTTATTTATATACATAATTCTCCCCTGACACTATGCATATCAGGTACAACATGTGATGACCCCTCACTTATACAACTTGAAAGGAACCAATGATAAAAGTCGTACAAATGAGAGAGTTGTACAAATGAGATTGACCAACTTGAATGAAAAAATATTAAAAATATAACTGTAAGACATTACCACTTGTTTTATCTAATTGTACAGCAGCCATTCTCTTTCTAGCAAGCTTGGTTAAGCCGATCTTATAGCATGCTCCACAAAAGTGAATCAAATATTAATTTAAAATAAATTTTATAAATTCTTGGAATCAAGTAGTTGTTCAGAAGAATTTTTCACTGAATATACAGTAAATGATGTGGTTTATAGATTTCAGAGGAACTGGGTAGTTTTTACTATAGCTTACAGTGACCATAAACGAAAATGTTCAGTTCGCTTTTGCGCATGCATGTGGACATGCACAATGAATGGATTGACTGAAGCATGCATATGCACATGAACAATAAATGGATTGAATGGATGCATGCATGTGGACATGCACAATGAATGGATTGAATGGATCACAATCTCATATATATAATGCCTGACAGACACACAATTAAGTACTTCACTACTATAGTGGAGCATGCTAAAAAAAGACCATATGTAAGGTTGCATATGGTAAAGTGTAGAGAAAAAAGGAAAAAGAATTAATGAAACAAAAGGAAATGAACAGAAGTATATTACACTGATGTTACACATACAGTAATCTTTCAAATATCATAACATCTACCAAAAAAGTACGAAATAAAATTATTATTATAAAACCTTCAAAAAGAAAATTATTATTAAAGGAAATAAACTTTTAGTTGTGGAATAAAGGAGATGCTGTGGTGACGGGCTATTGATTTCTTCTGAAGCACACTTTGAGAATGGGGATGCTGCAAGTTCAATCAAATTCAAAGATTTTTGCTTTTAATAGCTAATTAAGTCTCATCTAATAAGTTATTAAACAAGAAATTAAAGCTAGTGAACACAATTGTGGCATTTTATACCACTTCTTGTAATGTTAAGTATTCAAATAAGTTTCTAATTAAAAATACAGTATATTCTATTTAGCACTGTTAAAACAGTACTCATATAAAATAGTGTGTGTAAAATATCTTATGTCAAGGAGTATAAGTATTCAGCAATTATATGATAAGAAAACTACTTTTATCTTTAATATAGTTTTATTACTCTACTAATTTATTCATTTATATTAATATAATCTCAGATTAATTTTAGTAGCATGTAATGACAACAATAAACTCGTATAGAATTTACATATTCAAAAACATAATAATCTTACATTCAACATTATTTTCTTTCAGTCATACCTTACCAAGAGCTTACTATTAAATGTTATTATTAAAACTCTAATTTTGATTATTAAATTTTAATAGTCTAAGCTTTTAGCTTTTAAGAAGAATCCAGAATTGTTATATTATCTAATTTTCTTCTACAAGAAGTTCATCTCAATTTATACCACACATTTAATTTTTGAAAGCTTGTCATAGGCTATTTATAAAGAATCAATAAAAATTATTCATAAAAAATTTCTAGTTTTATGAAAAGATTGTGCATAATCTATTTACATCTTGATTCCAGTTTTTGTCCTAACACATCTTCATATATATTTTTGGCATTTCCTGTTGTACTTTGTACCATCTAGAACCTGAGAAAAAACAGTACTTCCTATCAAAATATCAAATAAAACAACTTTTTTTTTTTATTATAAACCAACACAATTGGTATTTCTCATCATTCAGATGAAATACAAAGATAATTAACCAAATACAAATTATTGATAAAATAGCTAAGTCTCTTCTAATAAGTTATTAAACAAGGGATTAAAGCTAGTGAACATAACTGTGGCATTTTATACCAC